GGCTGAGCTGAAAACTCAGACAGGTGATGTCAGGGACTTACTCTAGGAGTGTGTCCCGCCAGGACCACAGAAATGACCTGGAAGGACACTTGGCATGTGGTACAATTTACAAAATGGATCAAGGTGGAGGCCCCCAAGGGCCCTGCATTGCTAGAATACTCTACTTATGTAAAATAAAAGAGCAAATTATCTTCACAACAATTGGTAAAAGTATATCAGAGTGATCAAGCCATTTTAACCACCTTCTAATGCAGAAGCTGCAATGTGTGGGGCTGCCTTGGACAAAGAAGGACAAAGATGGACAATTTATCTCACAAAGAAAACATGAAAAGGGGAGAACAGGATCCTGGAGATAAAGACCTTAAAGGGGAGAGAAGGGAATGATTTTCTAAAGAGCTCAAAGGCTGAGCTGAGAGAGGCAGGGCCTGAATCCAGGCAGCACCATGAAAGGCATGAGATGAAAAGTGTGAGGAGCAGAGTGGTGGCCACCAAGAGCAGAGCGGCCATCGCATCAAGGTGGGGGAGGAGTCAGATGCGCCGTTATCCCAAGTCAGGGGACACTGGTACCATGCCATGGGCAGGTCTGTAATGAAGGCAGAACGCAGGGCCACATCCGAGCCAGAAGAGGAAAGGATTGCTGATGGGGAAGAAGTGGAGCAGTGGTCCCCCACTTGCCTGAGAAGCTGCAAAATAAAAGGAAGAAGCGTGGCCGGATGGTGGGAGGGACCAGGGAAGGCCATCTTTGTTCTGCCTGCAGGCAGAGAAGAAAGAGCTGGTGGAGAGAGGAAGGCATGCGTCATGGCAGCAGACCGTCCTCCCTGAGCACGTCCCTGGCACTTCACAGCTCCACGCTCCTGTTGGAATGAGGAACCAGTGACACTGCAACCTGCAGCCCCCTTGTTTAAAGGTCCAAGGACCCTGTGACATCCCAGGCCCCTTCTGGAGTTGATTAATGATGGGAGCCGGGGATGGAGAACAGAGAAGGCTTAGTCCTTTCCCCACATGTTAGGAAAATAATGAGAAACTACATTTTTATAAAACTGTGAAGACAGTGACAGCATGTATCGACGTCATCTGTGCAGGCAGGCTATGTATGAAATCATTTGCCAAACTGATAAATCCCAAGGACACAGTAACAGGATGTTGACATCATACCAGCGAAAGACCAAGGCAGAGAGAAAGCAGATGGGCTGCTGCCCAAGACATACAGATGTCAAGATGGCCCCTCATGCCAACAGACATCGTGGGCAGTAATTGGTCATCCAATCCCAATTTTGGCCAATTTGCTGTTTTAAAATCCTGTTGTCATCACATTCATATTGTTGGGAAGTCATATGTCATCAAGAAGAAAGACTACAGGGACACAATACATGACCCTAACAAAACTATGCCCAGGCAGTACATAAGGCCTGCAATGCCCTTTAAGAAATTGAAAAGAAATGCTCAAGAGGATGACAAACTCAGTATTTTAAAATGAGTCAGTTAATTCCAATTGGAAGTCACTAAATCCCATTGAAAGTCACTTCCAGCGACATTTTCTTTAGGAGTCAACTTATTTTCAAACCTACACAATGAATTTTAAATCAAAGTGGTTATGGATCCTTCAGAGGAGTTGCCCAAGCAATTGGCTTTATATTTAACTGAATCTGATTTATAAAGAAACTGATAGAAAAGACACTTGGGCTTTGTTTCTATTTCACAGTCAGAGCCTGCCACTTAGAACTGACCCACCCAAAGAGGGTCTTCCATGGAACTGCCCGGCTGACAGGGCCCTGTCCTAAGTGAAGTGCTTACATTCAGGCAGTATGTTAATAGTTAATTGCAGGCCATTCAAACTTGCATTTGATCTGGGTAGACCGCTAGGTCTTTTCTGTGTGAGTCCTAGAAGACTAGCTTAAACTCTCTTTTAGGTCAAATTCCTTATTCTCAATCACACACAGGCATGCTTCTGCGTACACATGCTCAGAGGTCAGGAACTACATTTTATTTCTCCCTTTTTGGATTGAAGGATAAGATGAAGAAAGCCCAAAGGTATTCCACTTCCCATCACCTCACTGACCACAGCGAGGTTGTTTCTGTGTGTTGGAACAGCTCTCCCAGACTAACAAGCCTCAGAGGGGCCTTGAGGACATCAGCTCTGGATGGGCACTGCTCAGATGAAAGTGCCCAGAGAACGCTTCAGCACCCTGGACAGCTCCCTGGGGGTCAACAGAGAACAAAAGCCTGCGCCAGTGCCCTGCAGTTTCTCAGCCAAGCCAAGACACACACAGTGAGGCTCAGTGTGCTCCCAATTGGTTGCACATCTTTGGCTTTCAGTTTGATCACCTGAGATCCTTCAATCTTGAGAAGAGCTGGCATCTAAAAGTTTTCAGATCAAATGTCTTTTCCTTAACTAGTGAGTCTAAGGCAAATGCATTTTTTTTTTCTGCAAGAAAAGTGGTTTGCTATATTCAATCATCTTTTGGTAGGGTTTTTATACATAAATATACCAATTTGGATTATTTTTCTGAGAAAAGTTCATTAAAGTTTTTAAGAAACTGATGCTACCTTTAGCCCAGTATCATGGGTTTGCCTATACACTTAAAAATACTAATTAATGTCATGGTATATATATATATATATATATATATATATATATATATGGTACTCAACATGGTGTTATGGAACACATGTGTGTGTGTGTGTGTGTGTGTGTGTGTGTGTGTAGGTTACTATGTGAAGCAAATGAACAGATTTACCACCTCACACAGCCACGCTGTTGCAACACAGCAGCTGAAATCTCTCATTAGTGTGAGTTCCACATATGGTACAATTTTATTACCTACAATCTTTCTGCTGTACATTAGAGCTCTAGGCCTGTTCAACCTACACCTCTGTTATTTGTAGAAAATATATGTGATGCATCTTTTCCAAAGTGTACTGATTATGTCCAAACATATACAGAAAATCAGAAATACATACCATAGTATACTAACTATGCACACCCCACCCAATACCAACATACATGTGCATGGGCATACACACACACATACACACAACACAACTCTGTATTTTCCAGAAAACGAACATTGAGATCAGGACTTAATAAATCATAAGGGGTGCTGTTAAGAGGTGCTGTTAAGAAATGCTGTTCAGAGCTCTATCAATGGAAATCACTTGCACCTGTGAAATTCTGATTTGTTCCTCAGTTTAACACTTTCGTTTTATCTGAGAACCAGTTCTGTACACGCTAAAAAGAAATACATGCTTCAAGCTAAGATTTTTGGAAAGGATGGGTGGAGGCAGGCAGCACAGTATTCAGCTTTTGCCTTTCCTTTCCCCTAGCGACACCTAGCGCCTATTGAGGAGAAATGCCACTGTTCTCACTCCAAACATCCACAATGTGAGAGTTAGTTGTTAAGTCACCTTTGAGGCAAAAAACAAATCTTTACTGTTTGCATTGCAGCTTAACAGCCTTTCCAAGACCCCCCCCCCAGCAATATAACCCTAGAAATGTGTTGTCAGACTCGTTAAAACTATATATATGCTATTTTGTAGGAATTCTTCACCCTCCCAAGAGATTGAGATTGTCCATTTTTCTCAAGACCTGGCCCACCGCAGTGAAGGGACCTCTGGTATTTCTCTATCTAACCAGGAGAGTCTGGAAATGACCCAAGAGAGAATAAGAAAATCTCCCGCAAGGATGATGCAGGGTCATGCGTCATGCATTTGTGTGCCCACCTATGTACAAGTCACACCCCCACAAACTTTGGTCACATCTGTCCTGTATCATAAAACAGCACAATCTCACTGGCACCTGAGAATTGTCCCTATGGAAGCACTCACCCCCCCACACACATACATACAGCTAAAGAAATACAACATACTGAAGCTGAAGCAGTGTGACCTGACAGGACACATTCAATGGCCACTCGGTGCAGGGAGTGGTGGGCAAGACGACCCGAGTAGCTTGTGCAGGACCCCAGGTGCTGCTCAACTTTGCTCAAAAGGCCCACACAGTGATTTCTGTCCTTATGGGCTGTACCACCCAAGGCAGACCTGCCTGCCTGGGAGCTAGTCTGGGATTTTATCTCAAAGAAAAAGGACAGTTTCCTCTCTTCTGGGTCTTCAGTGCTCTGAACATCTGGAAGGGATCAATAGGAGGTGGTTCCACCCATCCACCCCTGGAACCGGGTTCTCTGCAGGAGTCAGCGTTACTAAGGTGATATGCAAATTCAACCTTTGAAACCCAGGCTTCCAGCTCTGAGAAGAGTAGGAAAGGGTCTGGGAGAAGTTTGCAGAGAAGGAACACAGTCTAAGGTAGAGCTGTTGGCCCAAGGATAGGAGCCAGGAGATGGACAGGGCCTGGCATCCATCAGCAAAAATTGTGCTGGACCTGGGACAGGGGTGTCCTCCAAGGCAGTACTTCAACATTTTTTTCGAAAAGATCACCACCACTACCACCACCAGCTGGGGAGGGAGGGGAGAGGCTGGGGGAAATAAGAAGGGGATGTGATGGCACTTGCCTGGAGGGGCAGAGAGGGTAAGGGAGGAGAGGCACCCTGGGTAGATTCCCGTGACAGGTGGAAGGGGAAGAAAGAGCCCAAAATTGATGTTCCCTGAGCCTTAAAGCAGGAAAATAAATAAATAAATGACAAACACTATCAACTTGTAGGCACAGACAGATCTAATTTCCTCCTTGGGATCTACAGCAGCCTGCGGTTACAAACAGATCCGTGCATCTACTGAACCCCAAGCCTATTCCAGATCCCAGCAGGAGCAGCTCCAAAATCCTGCTGGCCGCAGCCACCAACTCCTGGCTGCCGCCACCGCAGACAGAGCCCCGCTCCGGACCTCGGTGACCGAGATCCGGCGCTAAGCAGAGTGTCTGGGCGCTTGGGAGCGGGGGAGGGGAGGCGAGGAGGGCGCCCTAAGACCCGCGGAGCCTCCAGGCCTCTGCGCCTCGCAGGTGCGCTCGGCCACAGCCCGCCGCCGCCCCCCACCCACCGCGATGCTCTTACGTCCTCCTCGTCACAGTCGCTCCGCGCCTGGTACTGGAACCGGGGCCGGCCACCCGCGCCGCCGCCGCCGCCGCGCTCCCGGGGCGCCGCCGCCTGCGCCTGCGGGCCGAGGGGCTTCGTCCCGGCGCCGCCGTCCTCCTCGGCCCCCTGGCCGCCCAGGAGGCGGCTGGCCTCCGGGGGCGCCGGGAAGGAGCGCGAGGTGTTGATCTTGCCGGTGAACCTCTGGTACAGCGAAGCCATCGGTCACCGCGCGCGCTCTCGCTGGCTGTCTTGGGTGCTTTTTAATATTTTGCTTTCACTCTCTCGGCTCCCGCTCCCCACCCCCTCCAGGCAAAAAAGAAAAAAAGGAAAAGGAAAAGAAAGGAAGAGAAAGGCGGCGGCGGGGAAGAATCGGCCGAAGAGGGCGAGCAGGCGGCCGCCCCTCCGCGCGCCACTCTCAAGTCGCCGCTGGCGACTCTGCCTGGCTCAGCCTCCTCCGCCCCCTCCCCCGGCGCTCCGCGAAGCAGGGTCGGGCTGTGTGCTCGCTTTCTTTTCTGCTGCTTTTTATTTTTTCAACTCCTTGCCACGGCCACGTACGGCCTAATCACAGATCGGTGGGAGGAAAGAACCAAACACGCAGGGAGGGGAAGCCTAGGCCCCATTATTTGGCACCACCTAGAGACCGGCGCACACCCAGGGCGCCTCCGCGCCCCGCCACCCGGCCCCGCGGCTCCTCCTCGGCCCGCCCAGCCCGGCCCGCGCCCGCTGGGCGGCGATTGGCGCCGGGGTGGCCGGGGGCCGAGGGCCGGCAGCGCGGGTCGCACGAAGGGCGGGGCGGGGCGGGACGCACAGGGCGCGGAGCAGGGGTCTGGGGGCGAGCGCTGCCCGTGCGGCGCAGCTCGGGCGCTCCAGGGCAGGTGGCAGGCTCGGAGACTCCCGAGGCGGCCGGCGGAGAGGACAACCCCCAGGGGCGCCCCGTCCACGCGCGTGGCTCGGCTTCGCGGCCACCGCTCCGTGGGCTCCCGACCGCAGCGCCCGGCCGCCTCGGAGCAGCTCCCCTCTAGTCTCTTCCAGTTCTTGCCCAACTCGGAACAACAGCACAGATCCTGAGGGCCTGGGTCGACGGGGGGCGCGGGGGCGCGGGCAGGGAGGGAGGGAGGGAGGCAGGCCTGCGCCCAAGGCGGTCGGGTGATGCGGGCTTCTAAGGAGCCCACCTTCTTTCCAAAACCGAAGTCTTGGAAAACAACTTCATATCCCTCACTCACTCTCGGAAAGAAGGCGAAGGTTGTTGGAGGAGAGCTAGTGGAGGCCTAGTGGGAGCCCCGGGAGCAGTCCCATCGCACGCTCCTCCCCAGTGTGCCAGCCTATTTGTGTGTATCACGAACTCCATTTTCATTTTCCGTAAATCTAGGGAGAGGCTGAAGCATTTGGGATCCAGCAACTTTTCCAAAGCTTGTTCCACCACCCCTCGAAACCCCACCTCCCACGGTAAGGAACTGAGAGGGGCGGGCGCATTGACCCCAAATGATGTGCATCACTCAGGGATTCGCATTAACCGGTTTTGCTGCATTAAAACGTGCTTCAGCGCCCCTGTGTGGAGAGACGGCATAGTGTGCCGCCCGCGAGCTCCAGCCGGCGCTGTGCCTCCTCTCCTGCAGTCCGGCCACCTTCCTCTCCTGTAACCTGGCCCCCTGCCTTCTCTCTAGAGCTCTCGCCATGGTATTTCTTAAGGGTCCTATCGCTCTTGCTTCTCATCTGGTCCACCTCTTCCTGCGGTCCCTCCTGGCTGCCATGGGCTCCAGCTGGGCCAGGACCCGAAGCTTGTGAGAGTGGTAGGGAGTATTAGCCCCGGCCCAGCGACTCCGCTGCGCCCTTCCACACACGGAGGGAGTCCGGGGCATCCTCGCCTCTCCCGGGGCTAAACGGTGCTCCAGTTTCCCTGTTTCAAGTTTTCAAAACCATAGGCAGGCGGCAGGCCCACAGGCCCCCAGCCCACCAGCCACCTCCTGCATCTCTGCCCCAGCCAGAAAGCCCAGGGCCAGGCCTGTCTGGCACTGCAATGGCCTCCCTGTACCCTCAGCTTGGAGGAAGACATGGGCTGCTGGCCAGTGAGCATATGCTGGGACCGGCACCCTTCCATGCCTCTGCCCTGCTGCCCTTCTCCAAGCCAGTCCAGTGGGTGGCTCTTAGTTTTGGTCAAAATTAGAACACACCCATCCTGCGTTCCTATGGTTTCTGTGAACTATGGATTAAAAAAAAAAAAAAAAAAAAAAAAGTGCAATCACTAAAAGTACATAAAAGCACTTTGCCTTTGTAGCAAATATTAAAACCAATATTTCAATCACTATGTGGCTCACTGCATGGGAAACACCACCCAGAAGGGTCTGGGGTAGGGAGAGCTTCCTCTCCTGCTTCACTTTGAAGAAACTTGCAACGATTACAAGAGCCACGAAACTAAACTTTAAAAGTCATCCCATTTAATAAGTGGAAACCCAGGCTCTCATTCCCCTTTCACACCAGCTGTGCTTTTGATAGGAGGAAGCTCCTTCCTAGCAGACTTCAAAGAGAAAAGCTCATGCTGTTGACTGCAGCCTTCAGATCCTGACATTTCACTATATATAGGTGCTGTTGGGGTCTTGCTCACGATAGAAAAAAATATGCATGTATGTTTTTACACAAACTATGAGAAGTATATATTTATATACATATACACATCATAGTAATATGTTTTATACAAATATAGTAAATATAGTACACACACTTTAAAGGTATGTGCAGAATATAGTTTGAATCTTTTGTGCAATAACAAATTGAATAAATTGATAAAGAAGGCGCATGTGCCTCACTTTTAAAAATTATTTTCTCAACTGAGCTTGTAGGTATGCAAATTACAGTCTGGCCAAAGTTAAAAATCCTGATTCAGTTATTCTGAAGGTGTGATTTTTATTTAAAATTATCTATAAAATAAAAAGACCATAAAACCCATAAACAATTGGGGAAAGAGCTGAGACCAAAATTTGTGTAGAGGAGTGAATCTGAAAATTAAAGAGGAGAAACGGAGGCCAGGAGAGGTGGGCAGGAAGGGCAAGAGGCAGGCCGGGGCAGGTGTGCAGAGACAAAGCACCAGGGAGAGCAGAGCAGCAGGAGGGCGAGGGTGGTCCTTGGTACACTCTGGACCAGGGCCCTGAGCTGACTTGAGAATTCAGATACCTTCTTTCACCTTGCACAGTGAACTCAAAGCTCCCGGGCCATTCTAGGGAATGTTCTAGATTGTGTGTGAGAATGTGCATCCTATTTATGCAGCAGCACATCCCAATTTGTCTCAAACACTGAAACAGATCCCAGAGCATCTTTAGAGACTGTGTTTCATGCTTTAGAATGAGGGAAGGGAGGCAGAGAAAGGCAAGGTGTGCCATTCATGTTTAGGAGACACAAGTCACTTAACTCTTGCCCCTTGTCAGTGTGGGTGCAGGCCCAGAAGGAAACAGTCGCTATTTCCTACCTCTCAACTTGCCCCTGATCATTTACTGTACTGAAGCAGATTTTCACTCCTGCTTATTGGACTAGTATTAAGAAAGTGTGTTTGAAATTGTTTTGTGGACTACTTCGTGTCAAGACTTTAATTCCTCAATACTGCTTAAAACACAAGGCCCACTGACCCATTTTTTGATTCAGTTCCCAGTTTCTTAGGTAAAGATGTGACTGTGTTTTCTTTCCCTGGAACCAATTTACAAAACAAATATGATAAGTCATTGAAATTAGGCAGATGTTGCAAAATGTGGTAGGTAGTCATTTTAAAAATGACAGCACAGGGAGCCATTGGGCCTGCATGCTGGCTAAGCAATGCAGGGCACCAAAGGCTGATTTCAGCAACCCAAGCATGATTTGTATTAGGTAAGAGTTTTCTTGTGGCTGGGAGAGCTGTCGGCTATAGTTCACTCTCTTTTTCTCTCAGTGGTGAGGAAAGAGAGCAGACTGTGTAGATTTTTAGTCTTCCTAACACTAATATTTGAAGAAATAAATGGCCAATGCAGCATACTCCAAAGAAGGGTCTTCCCTAAAACACCAGCTCCAAAATCTTGTAGATATTATCACCTTGACCTTGTATGAATGGGGAGAAAGCGAGTATTGGGGTGGCTTGAGAAAATACTCAAAGCAGATTCTCAATGTTGAAAATCTGTAACTCTCAACAAATGTTTTTTGTTTGTTGTTTGTTTTGTTCTTTATCTTGTGACTGCCAATTTGAGACTGGGTTATGTGACCTCTTTACAAATGTTCAAACAGGAAGAGTCCAGCACACACGCATGTGCACACAGAATTATTATTATTATTATTATGGGCTTTTAAAAAAAAGGACAAAGTATGAACTGACTTAATTTGGAGCTTTTTAACTTGCTACTTAAATATAAGTTTTAAGGAAAAACATTTCTTTTAACTCAATAAAAAGTCTTTCTTCAAAATCAGTGAACTTTCATCTCCCAGGAGTGTGTTTTTCTGCATTTACTAGTGCAGTGCTCCCTGCTTGTGCACTGACACAGGCGGGAAATCAACCCAGGTGTCCAAGCTCATTCCAGGTGGGTCAGACCACCCACTGCCTCAGCCCGTGGCCATGTCGACTCCCCTGAGGGTGCTTTTCTTGCCCTGGGACCCCGCGTCCCCCCCCCCCTCCACCTCTTGCTTCGCTTTGTTCTTCCCCTTCTTGCTTTTCCTTCCTGTTTTCTCGGGATCAGTGTCAGGAGGCTAGACATTTTCTTTTCTCTAAAAATTCTTTGCTTCTGTCAAAATAACTATAAAATCCTACTTTTTACAACCCAAGATGCCTCAGAAATTATCCAAATAATGGAGGAGGAGCAAGCTCTGTGTTTTCCCATTTTCTGTGTACACAAAGAGGGCTCCCACGGTGCCTTCTGGGGCTCTCAGGAGCTGCAGGCCTCCGGGTGCAGCAGAGCCCGCATATCTGCGTGTTCCTGGGACTTTCTGCACGTGACCCTGTCATTCTCTGAATGTCTTAATTTGCAGCCCTGACATGATTACATTCAAAGGGACCTGACGTCTGCTCTGAGATGCCCCAAGAGCTCCTTGCCCTTTATGGACCATGCACTTTCTGTGGATTAAGTTAAATATGTTTCCTTTGATGTTAAAGTCATATTAATGAGGCTCTACACTTTGTTGCTCTAATTTTTTATTCAACAGAGGCAGTGGCTGTGCCCAGAAGGAGAGAGTGTTTCTTCTCTCTGGCACCCTTGGCAGCACTCCTGGTTGAGCGTGGTCAGCGGCAGGCAGGAGGAAGGGCAAGGAGGCGGAGGCTCGGCGAGGGCCCAGACAGCCCTCAGGGTGCACCTGCATCATGTCACCCATGGGATTC